ATTTCTGTGTTGCAATTGTTTTTGGTTTTTTTTGTTGAATTTGATTTCAGCCCCAGAGGGAACTATTTTTTCCCCCACTATGGATGGCAGTTTGTATATTTTAGGGCTCCCAACATTCAGCTGGGGATTTATGATTTTAAAAGGTTTTTGTGAATTAGGTTTTAATTACTATGTCATAAAAGATTCAGTTACAATTGTTTGATTATAATTGCCGTGCACCAATGTTACTGGGGCACATATTCACCTATATGGTATTTTGACATTTACCTTTATATCAGCATCTTAGGGCGGTGGACCTCTCTTGCTTGTTTCTTGTCTGTTATTGTTGCTATTGAAAATTATAATAACAACAATTATGGTCATAAACCATCCCAAAAAATACCAAAAACACCAAAGCATAGGGTCTTAGGCATTTTATTCCTGTGTGATATCATTCTCCTGGTATACAGGTATATGTTATACTAATGCACCCAGTGCTTTTAAGTTGAATTCAGTTTAAAAATGTAGAAACATTATTTTATTTTGTTCCTGCAGATGTTATAACTGCGGAGGACTGGATCATCATGCCAAGGAATGTAACTTGCCACCACAGCCCAAGAAATGCCATTTCTGCCAAAGTACCAGCCATATGGTGGCACAGTGCCCAGATAAGGCTGCACAGCCTGTCATCTCACCAGGAAAACCTGCCACTGAGGAGATGAGCACCACAGCTACAGAGTAGCTGACACATGGCACTGGATTCAAACTATGTGTTTTTTCTGGTTTATTTTTATTTTTTTAATTACCGTATATACTCGAGTATAAGCCGTCCCGAATATAAGCCGAGGTACCTAATTTTACCACAAAAAACTGGGAAAAAGTATTGACTCTAATATAAGCCGAGGGTGGGAAATGAGGCAGCTACTGGTAGATAGATACCAATAAAATTACATGAATATTTATTTAAAAGAAAAATAACCTAGCTCTGTAAGTGGAAAAGGGGGTACAGGGCTACATATCATGTACTACGGATCATTTAACCCATTCATATTAGCAGAGGATAATTGTAAATCTATTGTTCAGTGCATTCTATATGTAGTATATAGTACATGTACATATAGAGTGCCTGCAACAATACATTTACAATGATCCTCTGCTAACATGAATGGGTTAAATGATCCATAGTACAGGGCTACATACAGATCATTTAATACATTCATGTTAGTATAATTGTAAATGTATTGTCTGCACTGTATTAGCAGTATATAATCTATGTAGAGTATATACTGCTAATACAGTGCAGACAATACATAAAGCCGAGGGGGGCACTTTTCAGCCAAAAAAATGGGCTTATACTCGAGTATATACGGTATATTAACACCCACCCCTTCAAATACCAACCAAATATGGTGGTGCCCATACTTAGACATCCAGATTAGTCTTTGAGCCCTAATGGTTAAAGAAATTGTTGACTTTGTGGTTACGTTAACATATTTAACACTCTAGCCAAGGTTGGGATGGTGATGAATTTCCTACCACTGAGAAACTTTGCATGGGCACCACCATTGCTAGACCAGTATTAAGAAGAGAGGACATTTTCCATCTCTTTGAAAGTAGATGCCATTTTAAGAGCCCCCTTTAAACTAAGTACAGGCTTATTCAGTAAAGCAGTGCCAAAGGTGATAATAATGTGCAAAGTACAGTAAGTGAACATGGATTAGACAAAGATGAATTCTGATTGGTTAGCCTGGGTTATTGAACTTTGCACATTGCTCTTTACCTTCTTGAATAAGCCAAGCTAAGATGTTAGTTTGATTGATAGCCTGACTTCACCACTGGTGCTACTTACAATTGCTATTCTCTCACACCAACTCCTTAGCCTGCTGGAACACTGTGATATACTGCATAATTTTAGGCATGATGGAGCATATGACTTTCCCTCCTTCCTCCCATGAACCATTACTGGGTGGCTAAGCAGCCAATGCTGTAAAGTGGGGGAAGGTCCTTAGATTGGTACAAACTCCAAACTACACCAACCCCAGAACAGGGTTTTCTCTCAGGGCTCCAATAGGTAAACGGGGCAGCAAATGAGTGCCGGGCATGGTAAATATTAGTGCTGGAGGGACAGGCCATCAAGCAAATTGGTTACTAAGTTCTCTTTAAATACTTGAATCAACTTATTTGCATTAGTACAATGTGGCTCATTTTGTTCACTGTGATAGGCTACCGAAACAAACCAGTCACATCTCACAATGCAAATACAGAGCTAGTGCCAATGCAAATGTTACAGCTGGGCACCAGACTAAAAACAATGAATGTAACATTAGTGAAAAGCAGACTGACTTATGCTGACCATAGACAAGGAGATTTATACAGGACCTTCTTTTTTTTAAGATCATACACATACAGAAAGCATTGTTCAGTCCAGATCGTTTGATAACATGTGATTTGATCCTTCATGCTAGCTGCAAAATTAAAACAAACACACAAGCTCAGAAAGACATAATATAGAGAAACCTCACCGCGACATCCCACTCCAAGCTCCCCTGCCCAGCACTGTGTTGGTGCTGTCCGGGAGCCATCCACACTCCATACTCACACTGTCCAAGAAAAAGCCACACAAGTTTCACGGGCTCGATCTCTTCGATTGAGCCCGTGAGGGTGAAGTGTGCGGTTACTAGACAGGGACTATACCATGCTGGCGGCTGGATTAAAATCTACTTGCATGGTGAAGTTAGCAGTGTGTGGCCTTTTCTTGGACAGTCAGAAAGTCAGAAGACACACATGCATGCACTGATGACAATGTTAAGGAAAAAGAAATCTGGTTGGTCTGGATTTCTCTGCATTGCTGTATGTTATTGCTGGATTTGCAAATATACAATCATTTATTTAACAATGCCAATCCAACCAACCTCCAAATGTTTCCTGGAGCAAAAATCCAATTGTGTACGGCCAGCATGACTCTACGCCAAAGATAAACAAACTGATGTGCTTGAAGTAACGTGGCAGTAGCCAATGAAGATTTATATTTTTCTGATAATTTTTTAGGATTTAGGATAAGTCCTGTGGCAATTCAATAGACTTGTTTACATGTGCGCCTAACAGCAATCATCTCACAGTTAAGGACCACAATCAGTCTTTACCTAATGTGTTTGCCCTTTTATCACCATCTGTTTCATCTCTCATTTATACTTTGATCCCTCTAATGTCTAATCCTATTTGTACCAAGTATTTTTTGTATTTCAGGTCCCCTCTATGTTTTATATTTTAATCTAAATGCATTTTATTTTATTTTGTTCTCTTTTTCACTTATGGCTGCTTTGAATACTACAGTCTTATTCATTTTTAACTAATGTGCAAAATGCAAATATGAACATTTCATTTTTGATTGGAAGCCCTGTGTGTACCTAACAAACTGGCCATTAGATTTCTAATCTTGCATACATTTTATTGAATGTTGATTTTGTTACCTACAGTTGATTTTTTTAAATCAGAAGTCCACAACTTCTAAAACAATTGTGTCCTAAAATATAACCATAAATTTAAAACTGCAGAACAGAACTGAATAGTACGAAAAATAAGTTGATTTTTTAATTAAAATTATAATAGTAGGCAAATGTGGGTATAATGAAATTTCACTTGGTGTTAGAGAACCTTCAGAAATGTAAAGTGGTCTGGCTATTCACAAGCCCCCAACACCACCATACAAAAATATTAAATAACACCCAAATGTAAAAGAAAGTTAAAACGTATTTACCTTAGAGCCCCACTTCTGGCTAAGTCACCTAGGCTCAGTAATGTCACTCAACCTTCCATAGGGATCCTGGGAAAACTGAGGATCCCAAATCACACACAGTGTTGGAATCGTAATCTACATGCTTGCTTTAAAGCAGGGCTGGACAAATCCCAGGAGCCAGATATACAAGGCTCCATACAAATTACAGCTGGTACCTAACTTTTGAGGTTTTCTCTAGTTGTTGTTAATGGATCAGCCGCCTAAAAATCCTGTTGGCTCCTGGATTGGACAGACTGGCTCCTGAGTTACATACTAAGTTGTCCACCCCTGCTGTAAAAGCAAGTAAAGTATGCAAACCCATACTCCTGTTCTATCCTGTTGTCCTTAAGAAGGCCAGTTCAAAGTTTAAACATTCTTGATTATACAAGAAAATGGTATGTACGGTTACATTAACAATATGTGGCCAGCACATGGCAGCTGGCAGCTGCAGGACAACAGCTCACCATGCATAATGAGAACCCAAATCTCTAAGATTTGTCTGTCAGTATTTAAAGTCAAATGTATTCAAGAACCAGACATCAAGCATATTAGCCATATTTGTGTCCATGAATCTTATTAGCAATAATACAGCTTGACGTGGTAATCTGCCAGCACCGGCATTTGCCAAAAAGCCTGACTTGATCGAGTGGTCTAATGGCTCTTTAAGCCATGAATCAAGTATAGGTTCTGATTTCACGCCCCAATGTACTGGGTTTGGCATAACTCTAACAAACATAATTATACCCCTTACTCCCACTGAAATCTCTATCTAAAAAAAAAGGATTTGTATTTATGATAAAATGGCTTATGGTTTTATATCAGATTTTGTAAAATGGTCTAGTATGACTTGGTATAAAACAGCAGACCCATCAAACAGCTCACCCACTGCTGGTTATGGGCTAGAATGGCACCAAAAATGTTTTGCACATTAGTTACAGATTCCCATAGGAAATAAGACTCTGTATTAGAATCTCTCCTTTATGTAGCAATTTCTGATGCAATATCAAATTGTGGCACAGATCAACCAACTATGGGTTGCTGGGTAATATATGAGTCTGATGTCTACAATGTTACACTTGCCCTTCATGCCTCCCTTGCTTTGAGGTGACACTGTCAGTAGGGCAGCTAAGGGGCTATTATTGGTGGGCTACACTTCCACCAATAGGAACATTCACTCACGTTACAATTTGACCATACAATCTCTTTACAATCAACTTTAGATCTACCAAAACTATGTAGTATGAGGACCTACCTGAAGTACCCAACCAATTTATATTCAACCAGGCATGCCCTTGCACTACATACTTGTTGGTGGATATAAAAGAGACTATACAATCCGATTGTTACGTGTGTGTGTGTGTGCTGAGCTTTAGTCAGATGCTCAAAGAGGAGGGGTAGGGGGTACAGTGCATACCGGTGCTTTGCATCCTGAGTCTCCAGTCCCCATCACAAGCAGACATATATATTTATATAGTGCATAAAATCAGAAATGTCAAGCATTATATAAATATATGTAGATACACAGTGTATTATATACACAATAAATCTGTATATAACTTTTTGTAATCTATTTATCAGCCTGTTTTAACCTAAGTTGCCCTCCATTTCTGGTATTCACAACAGTTACGACAGCACGGTTAGAACTTGCAGGGTATATGTCAGTATATCAGAAAACATATTTATTTGTTGTTTTATATATGTATATTGCATTGTACAAATATATAGTTTTACACAGGACTATATAGATATTTGATTATTACATATTACTATACATATTTATATATATATATATATTTTTTTAGTATCAGTGAAGGAGGGCACAGATATTCAGGATGACAATACATATTGTGCATTGTGCATATCTTCCCATGTCCGATGGTAAATCGATGGACATGATAAGAATGAGTTGTGATCTTTGTAAAAACAACTGCCTGCTGTCTGTGTTTGTCTTGCTGGTACTGATGCCG